TTATTTCCTGCTTCGTCTTTACGTAATCCTAGTAGTCTTTACGATGCTAAGTCTGTCATTCTACCTCTAATTATTTCATAGAAAACATGGCATCCTACAATCCTTTATTGAAAGGGTAATTTAGTAAATGACCAACACTTGGAAAAGAAACAAAATTAATAGCATAAAGTTAATTATATTATTAATTAAAACGTTTTTGATAACTATGTAGAAATATAAAAGAGGGATATCTCTTTCGAAAAGAAGCAAATTCAGTTAAAGCTCTGGCCAAAGGTTTTGTAGAAAGTGAAAGAAAAGGCAGCAAAATGTAATCTCTGTAGAAAATGCTGGTTACTTTCATCATTTATTTCTTTTATACTGTGCATAGGTATGTGATATGAAAACAGAGTAATAGCTTCTTTTGAAAACTATAGAAATTAGAGTTTTTATCTTACATCACTTGGATTAACTGAATCGAAATCACTTGGGATAACTTTATTGAGTCAAACTGAGCAAGTTTGGCTGGGTATAAAAACAAAAACATCAGACTAAATTGGAGAAAAAAATCTTTTGCAAACAGATAAAAGTGGAGCAAGTTTCGGTAAATTAGTGCCAGCTCAAGGAGATTCGAACAAATAAACATTTTTACTGCTTTCTAAAAGTATGTTGTTTTGAAACATCTACATTAAGAAAGTTGCATTTATCGATTACCAATGCAATTAAATAGCGAAAATATTACAATAAATAACTGCCCATTTACAAGACATCAAGAAACTATTATTTAGCCTAATTTCAATATATGAATAGAATATTAAAAATACTGTGATCATGTTCGTCTTTTGTATCTTTACTTTTAGTCCAAAAGGGAAATTTGCTCAGAAGGACTATTAATTTCGTTTTGGAATTTTGCGTTGGTTCCTATAATGTGTTCACTTTTCACATGTTGACCCCATATTAGGCTTGCATTACATTAAATAAATAAATAATGAAGATCTGATTTATTGTATATTCTCGCATGTGATGAAAACAACGGTACCAGACCTCAAAATTGAAAACGTAACTTTATAAAACCGGCACACTAATTGAATTGAATTTGTTTATTATAGATTTCATATTGTTAAACTTAACGAATTTTGATAACAAACTCAAGGATTCAAAGCAGCAATGGCAACTGTACGAAAACATTTTTTCCAACGCGCGAGCTATGTTCGGAAAGTCTAAGATATGCTCAAAACTATTGCGATATTGCTCTTGAATTGAATTTTATGGTTTGAGTACGTAGAACATGATATTTAATAAATAAAAGTAACACACAAAACGTTAAAAACACGACCCTTTGGACGTAATTAAAATCTGAAACATTTTAGATTTTAATTCTTTCTGTTTGTTTTTATTTTTCTTTATTCCATTACATTATCTTTTGTAATTGTGTATGCATTTTATCTGCTGTGATCGCTATTGCATATATGTAATAAATAACAAATAAATTTATTAAGTATTCTTTGACAAATTTTTACTATTTTGTGTAAAGGATATTGCGAGCAGACTTAGATAATTATAAAACTCATAATCTCTAATACAATGATTATATTTTTAAAGAATATCGATTTTTGTGATATCTGGCAATTTAAATTTTCTTGTCTTTGGAATGAGATAATCAAAAATGACAGAAAGTACATAAAATGACTTTTTAACAACGTAAAACTGATTTTGAGTTCAACAAACTGATACTATTTTAGATAGAAAAATGCCATATATACTCTTCCTAAAAATAATATTTGTTGCGATATTTCAAACTGGATATTTCAGATTTTCTAAGAAACAGTCATTGGAAAGATATATTTTATTAAATTATACTCTTATTCTATCTGTTGATTTAAGATGTTGTTATAAAAGCTTGTTTCTCAATTATATCAAGTTAAAGAAGATAAGACTAAAAAGTTAAAGAATGTGGAAACAAATTTTGTTGCGTGTACCATCTTGTGCCTGAACACGAAATTTTCTTATCTTCTTATAAACTAATCCCTAGGAAATCCTTGAACGGTATACCTCATTTTAATTCCATCAATGTTTCGAAAGTTTCCCGAAAAAAATCTTTACCTTCAAGAAACAGCATTGATTTGTGTAAAATATATTTTTAAATCTCATAGATATAGGGCATATTTAAAATTAAAGAAGTTCTAAATATAATGAGAAGTATAATTCTTAAAGCGCATGCAGAAATCAGGCTATATGCAGAAACTAATTAGTACAAAAAGCAAAATTTAGCTTATGAAAGTGAAAACTATTTAGAGAAAAGAAATACATATCAGGGAGAAACGTATAATTTGCATTACGGAATGTCATTCGAAACAAAAAATAACTGCAGAATTCAGAAGAAAATAATAAAATGTTTCATAACCATTTTATGATTTTTAAGATAAAAATTACGTCACACATTTTAAATAATTTATTTCGTTCACAAAGTTATTCTACCTTATGCATTACCTTCTTGAAATGAATTTTTTGAGTATGATTCTTTTTAAATTTTTAAAATCGCTATTCTAAACTTTCTAAAATTCCTGTACTCTCTGGAAATTGGAATAAAGGGAAAAAAATCAGTAGAGAACTTTTAAATCAGGATCGACGAGATATAACTATATTTTTTCATGTTTAACTGTTTATCTATCTGTTTTTCTAGGACTAATAGTTTGCATCGTTGTTCAGATTTTTAAACTGCTAAACTTTGCATGACTTTTCAGCTTTTGCAGTAATTACACTAACAGCAATTTTTCCTAGGTTCGAATTTTCGATGATAGTTACAAAACCAATATAGAGTGTTTATGATTCTTTCCGTCTATAACGTAAGTGTGAAATGATTTTCACGCATCTGCTTCCAAGCCATATAGCAAACTCGTAATTTGCCGTAATTTACATTTGAAGACTAAACAAAATATTCGGAATCATTATTTATAAGTATGTTTCTGTATTTCTTGATTCTAAATTGATATTCCAAATGATAGTAAAAATATGCTCATTTGTAAATCTCCAAAGATGTAGTATGAAGGAAATAATTCAGTAAACATTAAAAGCAGATAGTCTAATTGCAAACTCTGAAAACTTTTACTACCAGTTGTTGTAATCTGTGTAATATTTATTTCAAATTAACATTTGTCTCTTTCAAGATACGAAATGTTTAAAGTATCTATATAAAAGTATGCAAAAATATGTACAAAACTTGAGTATTTTCAAATTAATGTGATATATATTATTAATGTCGCACAGTATGCTGCGAAATTAATTAAATATTCAAGAGATAATAATTAAATCAAACTTAGATCATGAAAAGGAGGAGCTTTCTAAGGGGAAATTCACGTGTCAAAATTAAAACAGAAGCACTTCAAAACTGAAATAAAACAGTTCATTAATATTAATAAAACTGATATAAAACATAAAAACTGTTGAAAATTCTTTGGTCTTTTTCTAGTAGCAGCCGACCAATTTTCAGCAGAGCCACGTTTCTGAATTATATCTCGACTGTTAATACCGGAAACATTTTAAAATAAAAATTAAAGTAAAATACCAAATAAACTAATTTAGTAATAACCAAGAAAAGTCTGAAAGGTTTCGGATTTTTGTAATTGCCCAAAATGTCTCTTTTCAAGTTTAATGTGGTTTGTAAAGACCTTATTTTATTCTAACCAATTAATTTTAGTTCGACTTTCCTGACTTTCCTGATTTCAGTTTCGGAAAAGTAAATTTTAGATGACATAGTGTGCAAAATCTAAGCGTGTTTCAGAAGCAGTATTTAAGCTACATTTCAAGAATTCGTGAGGAGTACTAAGGGAGTTAGCTCCACGTTTATGCTGCGTGTGTAAAATTAGCTCTCTGGTTAATGTTAAACACCTTTCAATTTATACCAGTATTGTAGGCTCGGCTTTGTTGTGTGCGATTTAGCAGGTCAGATAAGCTAAGGAGCCAATCGTTAGCCATTCAAATTTATTGTGATTTTTACATTTTTTATTTGCTGTTAAATTTAGTTAGCCAAAAAGGGTGGTAAATTGTAAGCACCGAGTGCGTGCATCGCGTCTTGATAAATTTAGTTCACATGAAAAAATTTTAAAACCTTCTTATGCAGTATATATTCTTCAAAGACACAGCGAGTATTCGCTACTCCGTCTTCTACGTAGGGTCTACATTTTATGTTTCCGAAAGAAAAGCGAGCCTCTGTAGGTTTACCAGTAGAGATTATCGATAGAGATGGCCCAGGTGGAATAGCGAAACATTTTGCAGAATATTAGATGAATATGCGTTTAGACTAACATGGGAACGTAATATATCTTCCGGGTATTTAAAAATGAAAAAGAATGTAATGTCATTATATAAAAAAAAATTAATGTTTTAATTAGATATATGCATAAATACATATAGTATATCTAATTTAAAATGTTTAATTATAAATGTTTAAGAAGTTAGAAGTTAGAAAATAGATTATGTTAGAAGAATTTTTCTTTATTTTAATGCTTCATACAACGAAACTTTCCAATATTTCTGTAATACATTTAGTAATTTAAATTATTTGTTAGCATTTAAGTCCTCCTTACCGGAACCGTACAGTCCAAACACCAATATCATTTGTGATGTAATCATCTGTATGCTATGTAAATCATCTGTTAATATTAACAGAGTGAACTTCTCAGAATTTATTTATACAACTCTAATATTGTATTTTTAAACTTTATCTAGTTGTAATTATTTTATACATTTCCAGAAAATAGCGAATTATGGGCGTATTTGCAGAGATTAAACCCAATTAAGCAAGCAACATAAAAGCAGCTGCCGGTTTCCCACAGTTTATAATATACAGTTTCAAGCAAGTGCTCTGACTAAATTAGAAAAAGGTGCTTTCATAGTCTGTTAAAAGCCCATTGCAAATAGAGGAAATTCGCATATTCTACACATTGGATGACACAATCAACATTGGGCGGTCGCCAATTTAGCAATTAATATAATTGAAACGACCTTTTAGGTATATTACAGCTGTCCATTTAGCCAGATATAACTCTTTTGAAAAGAACAACAACTAAGTATTTCCGAGCTTTTTGGGTGAGTTTCTTAATTCTTTTTTGATTCGATAATAATTAGTTAAGATTAATTTAAATGTAAATACATTTGCGATTAAAATGGTTCATCTGCTTTCTTCTTCTTAAGTAATACTAATTCACTCTGAAAGAAGTGATTTGCTGATCGTTAATAAAAGTACTTAACATAATTAAAGGATAATTAAAGGATTTGAGCGGCTCAGATTGAACGATATTATTATACTGAACTCGCTATTTTAATTCTTTTTCAATCTTGATTTAATAATGGCATAAAATTAATAAGACAATGAATTAGGAGGAAAATAAAATTAAGATTCACTGTAGTATGTTATAAAGCTGCAAAAATTTAATTCAGTTCATTATATCTTATTAATGCGAAGTAATTTTGAAGAAAACTAACATTATTGCTAAACAAGATATGTTTATGAAGCATACTAAATTATATTAGTAATTATAATTTCTAAAAAATGCAGAAATGCAAGATTTTTTTTTTATTTCGTGCAACAAATGTTGGACATTCTTTTATTATCATAAGCTATGCAAACTTTCCTTAGTTCAATGTTTTATGTAGAAAGATTATACAGACGTGCAACGTTAAGTATCAGAAAAGCGTTGTATATTATGATTTTTGTAGTGTTACTAACTATACAATATCCTATCATCTTATAAGTTGGGCCGGTTTAAGTAATATATGATCCTTTTAAGCCTGACTTGAAACTATACGAAAAGAAATAGCATTTAAATTTAATAGCATTACCTTTTTTCTCGAATAGAATAAAGATTAAAACATGGATGCAGATTGAATAATATATACTCATATGGTAACATCGAAATTTTTCGAAGAAAAATTTATTGTGAGTAGAAAGATCTGGGAAAAGTTTGAATTTAGTTTTTATAGCTATATCGTATTGCAATACATTTCTAAAATGTACTTTGTGCTTCCTCTAGAGAATTGAATAATTTTTATATTAATGTTTATAACAAGGATTAAAAGCATTTTCTTCCTTTTATTGCACTTCATGTTACATTACGTAATCATTCTTTCTGCGGAGTGAAGTAAGAAACCTTAAATATATGATAAAGCTAGTTTATTTTATCGTAGAATAGTTATTGTGCATAGATTTCATCTGCACAGTTTAGAATAACTTAGAATAATTGGAATCTTTATCAAACTATGTCTGGATATATTTATGAAAGCATTTGAGTAATTTCAAAAAGCTTTTATTAGTATCCGAAACAATAAACGCTTCACAAATATTACAGTATTTTTCCATTTATAGATGCAGCTTTCTAGACAGTAAACATTTTGTTAAATACTACTAACTGAAGTTTTATTTTCAACGTATTTACCTTCTAGAATTTATCTGATAAGACGTCATTTGATGAATAACATGGGGTTATTAATATTCTACAGTTTTACAGAATTTAATTGTAGCCATCTGCCTATTACTGAGATTATTTGCAAATTAATTATTGTTGCTAAGAAAATAGCAAGAAGCATTATGAATATTAAATTATAAAAAAAATCAGATATGATAGCTATATAAGAAAAATAATATTACAGTTCTTTTATAAGATTTGATATATTTCGCTAATATATTGGGTATTTGCTAGGCGATATATTTCGTAGTACATGGGCAAATTTATCCGGGAAAATTCCTGATTTATTGAATAGTTAGTTGTATATAGCCTATTATATATTGTTTAGTATATAATAGTATAATAATAATAATAATAGCCTATTATATATTGTTTAGTATATAATGTCCTCAGGATGTGTCGCTGTGTGACTAATAGACGTCTAAACGTTAATGTTGGAGAGTTCTTTCAAGTGGAGTTCTTTTGTGAGAGGACATTTGAAAATGTAATGATCTGCATCACCCAGTTATCCGTATAAGCGTGTGTTTGCCAGAGTCTGCTTGTAAAAGTAATTTGGGAGTGGGTTATGGCCTGACAAATATTGCGTTAAATATCTTACTGTGCAATACATTGTTAGTATTTGAAATCTTTGATGAAGAAAGTGTTCATTGGATTTATGTGCATTTATTTTAGTGTTTATGTTGAACTTTTTAGTACAGCTTTGAGCGCTCCGAAGGAGCCAAATCTTATAGCAAACCTTCTTGTGTATTCGGAAAGCTTTCTGATAGCAGCATGAAAGGCTGTCAGTATAATTTGAATGTTCACAGGCATAATGTTTTTGACATAAAAATGTTTATGCGAATGTTCATATCTTAGAATATGGTATGGAAATTGCTTATATTGTACTTGCATATGTAACAAAAAGGATTAAAATGACAATGAAGATTCAATTCCTTGACCCCCGAGATTGAAATCAATCTTACTTAAATGCATTTTACAATTTACGTTTGATTAAACTGTGTATGACATGCTCAGCGAATTGAACTGGTCGTTTTCTGCGGAGCAAATGTCTCATAGTGTGGCCATGAATTAGGTTCGTGTATACTATAGCATGATAAAGCAATATGCATCATAATGCAGAGTCTTAAATTTGCCAAAACCAAGGAGGCAGTAACGATTCGTTCTCTCGTAGGAAAACATACAGTATTTAGCGTCGGCTCTCAAATATGCTTTCTATCCGATCGCTAAAGTAGTCACATGTTCAAGAAAGTGTCCTCGATTAGATAATAATCGACGCAAAACAGGATATTTTTTCTTTTACGTGTTAGATTATGGCACCACCATTATGTGTCATGACAACTACTGATGACAACTGAGGGATAAAAAATTCTCATTTAAATTTATACGTTTATCCTATTCACCTAAAAGAGGTGAAGATCGTTAATACGCCCTTTAATTCATTGGGACTCGTACATTTACGGCCTTCAACTAAGAATTCAAGATATAAGAGACATAATTCAAGATATAAGAGATTATTCAAGATATTATTCAAGATATAAGAGATTACTCACTCTACAATTGTAGTTGTTACGATTTGGGGAAGGACCAATAAAGCACATTCCAATAAAGATGAAAGAGCTTATGACTGAATAAAAAGACTATCTTTTAAATGGTGATACTAAAATTCAGGTAAATTTTCAAAATTTCATGTACTTTCTCCGTTTTTCTTTCAATCAGTGTAGCTCAATGAAAATAACTGAAATTTTTATGCTTTAGTCAAGCTAGAAATAGTTTCTCATTAAATATCTCTTTTTAAATTAAAAAAGGATCTTGTGAATTTATCTTCTTAAAATTTTCAGTGGTTTTAAACCTGTTTATTGTAACTATGCTTTACATGAATTTGTAATTAAGCTCTTCTAAATCGTTAATAAATTGTTCATTTCATGTTTACCACTTCATTTTTATTAAATTAATGGCATATTTATTGCTTCAACCATTCCTGATCTTTCGTTAATCTTTTATAATTTCGGAAACATCGTTCAAATCTTGTAAGAAGGCTTGAGATGAAAGATAAGAAATTTCAGTACACCGCCTTATCCCCTCTTCACTTCAATTTAAACAAAATTGTTCTCACTAGAGAATAATTAAATTTCCGAGGGATTATTCTCTCCTTAGGCGGAGAGATGCAAAACGGGCAAATGTTGTACATTGTTAATATTTATCCACATGGCAAATCCTCTTTCCCTATGTATAATTTTAATATATCCAACAAAGCGGGATTAGATTTGTATGAAAAGGAATACTTGCCTATTATATATATTTCTGAATTTAAGCAGAAGAAGAATTCAAATATGAAAAGAAAGTAATAATTCAAATGTTATATTCAAATATTAAAATCAGTATTAATTAAAAATATCACATCTATAAAAATTGTCTGATTACGACAGATTTACAATGTTTTAAAAGAATTCAAATATTAAAATACTAGAATTAAAAAAATCGCATTATAAATTTTCCTTTTACTCCATTATATTTATCTAATCAAAAATTATCATACCAAAAAAATAAGCAATAAAAAAATACAATAGATTTTAAGATTTCTCCCCTTCTTCGCATGCCTTCGTGGTGTAAGTCAGAAAGCCGGAGCGTATTCGAAGTTGGTCGGCGAGAGCACTGCACATTTCATGTGTCTTGCTTAAAAAATATAAAAATAAATAAATAAAATAAAAAAAAATCATAATGTGTGTACAGTGGCGCCGACACTAAAAAGGTAGTGGATGATGATTTTCCAGCACCAGGATTTAGTAATTGAGTCCTCTAATGCCCAGTCGAACATTAAAAGGGAGGAGAATATAAAATATTTCTCCCGCCTTCTTAGCATGCCTTCATGGTGTAATGGAAAGCACACTCGGCGCGTATCTGAGAGGTCCGTGGTTCGAGTCTCGGAGAGGGCACTGCCCATTTTTTTATGGCACCTGCTTCATAAAACTCCTAATGACCCTACAAAGCATAATCTCAAAATCCTTTTAATGCCAATATTTTTTTCTATGTTCTAAATCAGAACAACTACCTGAATTGCAAATGCAATTTTGTTAGCTTAAATATCAAGGCATTATTTTTACTTGTATTAAAATCAAAAGAATCTTTTAGTGTTCTAGGTTACCTTATGTTACCATCATTTTAATCACGTATTTTGACTGGCATACTTTTAATGCTAAGAGCGGCTGGTGTTATTTTTGAATAAGATCTTGGTTTTACTTTTAAAATTACAGTAGTACATTACTTAACCCAGCTACCTTGGGCAATATAAAAATAATAAACCATGGAACCTTGAAGCCTCAACATAGCACAAAAATTTGTATATTTCTTTTTAATTTTCTCATTAAAATAAATTAGAAAGTAGAAAACTTTCAAGAGAGAAAATGAGAGCGAAGAGAGAATATATCTTCACTATATTCATTTGCTTTATATTTACATCAATAGTTTACAAGATGAAATATCTGTCTCCCTTCCAACATCGACAGCAGTAGTGTCGTATATGATACAAAACACTGTAGACGTTGTAATAGTAATGAACATACTTACAGACAACGACATCATGTAGACATCAGACATCATAAGTGAAATCATCATATGAAACAAATT